AACAAAAAGTTAAAAAGAAAAAAGATTTTTGTTAGTATTTCAATTCTACCATGAGAAAAAGACTTAAGTTAATGTAAGAGTTGCATTGGATCATTGTTTTATCTAAAATAAGTTTGTGGTATTTTAAAAAAACTAAACAAAACACAAACCTACATAGGATACAAATAATATTATGTTAAATCTAATTTCTAATCCATCGAACGTTTGTTTGAACCATAGAAATATTTGAAGAAAAAAATAGTCTTTTCCATTGTTGTCTCGTGATAACTAAACAAAGACTTCTTTGTTAATTTAAAGAAGACACTTGTTTCAAAACAAAGTCATGGATCGATAATTGTCTCTGAAAGTCAAACATTGAAGTTAAAATTAAATTTTAATTTCAAAATCATTTTAAATATATATTTTTACAGTAGTTTTCTAGTTTCAGAGATTTTATTTTAACATCTAAAAATTTTTTTCCCATATCAACAACGATACAAGAGAAACATCGTACAGCGGAGCTGTATCTTAAAAACAAGGATCGCAATCGTATCTTCATTACACGAACGTGGCGTACTTTTAGCCGCGAACGTACATGAAACTCAGGCATTTCCAAAAGCTATTTTTGACAATTCTCTCGTACGTGGGGTGTTCGTTTAAATATTGTAGTCCGGTTAAAAAAACAAGAACTAAAGCTTTGAAGTTTTATTCAAAGTTGAATTTGATGTTATGTTTAAGTTGATATACAAAGTTGATGTAAATTAAATTATATATAGCTCTCACGTGATGGGATACGATGTACATGTGTTAGTTCTTTTAAATCTACAGGGGGGGGGGCATGGGTACATAGAGGGGGTAGGTAAGGGAGAGGTGTGAGGTTAGTAGGGAGGGATTAAGGTATAGAGGCGTGTGTCGGGTATTAAGGGTGGGTAGGTGTGGGTGTGAGCTAGATGGTTGGGGTTATAAAGGGTTGCTTGTGGAGAATTAAGGGTCTTTGGGGTATGTAGCACTGAGTGTGTGTGAGGTATCTAGGGCGTGTGGGGGTATGTGATAGAGGTTGTGTGGGGTAGGTAGAATTGAGTGTGAGGTAGCTAGGTGTGTGTGGTCGATGAGGGAGGGGTAGAGTTGGGGAGGTTTGTGTAACGACAGTTATAATCAACTCGTATTTATTAGGCAAGCCACGACGTGTGCTTGTTAAGCCTGCTAGACAATTAAGTTTGAAACTCGATTTGAAAAAAAAATATTTTGTTTAATTACCATTCACCTCCAGCCTGCTGTGCCTGCCTTCCCCAGGTGACTGACCATCACGTGACTAAGTTCCAGATGTCTTTGAGTAAACACGACTTTAATCTATGGGAGACTAACGATTGCTTCCACTTGTCGCTCTTAATTAAAATGTAATCACGAGAAAAAGTGGATAAGCCTAGGAGTTTAAATGAAACCACCCTTAACAGACTATTTAAGCGTGTTAATTGTTTTGGTCGTTGTCAGGAGTTTACAAACTTAGCAAAATTATCTTCTACGTAAAGGGTTGGACCAGAGGCGTAGTGAGGTTTTCATTTGAGGGAGACAGACGAGTGCGCAATAGGTGCCAACGTATCATTCTCTTATATATATATATATATATATATATATATATATATATATATATATATATATATATATATATATATATATACATATACATATATAAAGTGTATAAGTATATGCAATTTAAATGTATAATTATATGAATTAAATGATCAGCTTTTTTCAGTCATGGAGGAAATGAGCTAACGAATCAAACTTATCATGCGAATCAAACTTATGCACACCGTATATTCTGAAATCTTCCCTGTCACAATGTCATCGATATTGTACATCAGATGTACAGATCATGTGTGACAATGTCAGATACTGTACATCAGATGTATAGATAACAGATAGCTTTGTCGAGACAAAAAAACGTCGCAGAAAAGCTGTCAACATTTTGCCATTTTATGACGATATAGGCTGTAGCTACAAATGTTTATTGGCGGCTTTTACAACTCACAAAAAAAATATGTCTCAGTTTTTCTTCCATTTCGCCTTAGACTGGGTTAAGAAGACTTCCAGCGGTGAGGATTAGTAAGACATTTAACAACGAGGATTACAAAGACGTTTGGCAACAAAGATTAGGAAGACGTCCAACAAAGAGAATTAGGAAGACGTCCAGCAGGGATTATTAGAAAAACGTCCAACAACGGTCGTACGACAGACAGCATTGATAAGTGTCATCCCCGTCGTGTATTAAATATCAAGAGGTCAGCCTAAAACAGACAGCCAGTCAGCTAAAATAATGAAAGGTCAGCCTAAAACAGACAGTCAGTCAGCTAAAGTAATGACAGGTCAGTCTAAAACAGACAGCCAGTCAGCTAAAATAACGAAAGGTCAGCCTAAAACAGACAGCCAGTCAGCTAAAATAGCCAGAGGTCAGCCTAAAACAGACAGCCAGTCAGCTAAAATAACGAAAGGTCAGCCTAAAACAGACAGCCAGTCAGCTAAAATAACCAGAGGTCAGCCTAAAACATACAGCCAGTCAGCTAAAATAACGAAAGGTCAGCCTAAAACAGACAGCCAGTCAGCTAAAATAGCCAGAGGTCAGCCTAAAACAGACAGCCAGTCAGCTAAAATAGCCAGAGGTCAGCCTAAAACAGACAGCCAGTCAGCTAAAATAGCCAGAGGTCAGCCTAAAACAGACAGCCAGTCAGCTAAAATAATGAAAGGTCAGCCTAAAACAGACAGCCAGTCAGCTAAAATAGCCAGAGGTCAGCCTAAAACAGACAGCCAGTCAGCTAAAATAATGAAAGGTCAGCCTAAAACAGCCAGTCAGCTAAAATAGCCAGAGGTCAGCCTAAAACAGACAGCCAGTCAGCTAAAATAGCCAGAGGTCAGCCTAAAACAGACAGCCAGTCAGCTAAAATAGCCAGAGGTCAGCCTAAAACAGACAGCCAGTCAGCTAAAATAATGAAAGGTCAGCCTAAAACAGACAGCCAGTCAGCTAAAATAGCCAGAGGTCAGGCTAAAACAGACAGCCAGTCAGCTAAAATAGCCAGAGGTCAGCCTAAAACAGACAGCCAGTCAGCTTAAATAGCCAGAGGTCAGCCTAAAACAGACAGCCAGTCGTAACCGATAGACATGGAGG